CCCCGCCCCCCCGGCTGCGGTGTGCCGTAGTGAGGCGAGGGGTGGTTAAGCCCCCATCCTCCCATACATACGTTTCATATTTTTTGTTCCTTTTCGTCTCGGGGCTTTCACATCACGGAACAGGAAAGCATCTGATGCGCCGGCTCACATGCCACTTCTGATCATACGTTGCCTCCTTGCACAGAGCAGGATCGTTGGGAAAGATGGAGATACAATAAGTTGCTAGTACTGAAAAGTGCTGCGGAAATCCAGTGGTTTCCTTTCTCCAGTGAAGTGACATATTTTCCTCGGGTTAAGTTGAAAGCACTGTTTGGCGGAGACTGACTGTGGCTGAGAGTGGGTTTGTGTTTTTCTTGCACCGTTAGGTTTTGCAAAGAACAGCGATGAAGAGGAAGCTGGCACTCTCCGAGATGCAGTTGGTTCTTCTCGTTTTATTGGTGTGGCTACCAACAAGGTGAGAGGACATTTAGTTTTCTTGTTCAGTCTGAACATGTATGTTACAATCTCCTAAGGGTAAGCTTGTGTGAGGGGTTATAAAAGTGTAGTATATAGTAACGTAATAAGAAAATCTTTCTTAGCTGATTGAATGCAGTAATACATAGTTTTGGGAACAAATGCAGTAGAATGTAGTTTAGGGACCATAAAAGCCTGATCTCTTGTCCTTAAACGGTTTGTGAATTGATGCTTTATTTCACCATTAAAATAACAATTTCTTCCTTAAATGTCTTTTTGGATCTTAAAAATTTGAGTTACTGTATCTCTGTGATTCTGTACCATACAAATTGGAGAAATAGATTATCATGAAGTCAGACTGCAAATCACTGTCTTTAAAACAATGCTCATATATTTATTAATATGGGCATGCCTTTTTTTTTTTTTTTTTCTTGATTGTTTTTTTTTGGTCAAACATAATAGAATTCAAAATGATGCTTAAGCTTTAAACCTCTAGGTGGAGATAGCATACAACTTCACAATCACATATAATAAAACAATAGCATCATTTATTAATCAACTTTTCTTATGTTGTTTAAAGTTCTCAGTTTCTAAAGTGACAGCATAAGAAGAAGTAATTTTTATTACATTATCCTTTTGTGTTGCTCACAGTCCCTGAACACGTAATTAATTGTAGTTTGTAACTTTGAATTACTTGCTTTAGTTCTGGCTGCAGTAGGTCTTGTCCTCATATGGTAAAGATTGTATGTATATAATGAAAGTTTCCTATGATTTAACAAGTCTCCAATATTTTTGTTTGCTTCCCAGCGAAGAAAATATTTTCTGAAACTTTGTTTTCTATTTCACTTTATACCTAACTATGGTGCAGTATTAGTTGAGTCACAGTGGGCCAGATCCTGCAAACCCTACTCAAGTGAGTAATCTTACTGACGTCAAAGAGACCATATACGTTATTAAAGACTTTATGCCTGAGTAAAGTTTGCAGGATTCGACCCTAATTTGATGTAATTGTATTGATGTAATATTTTTTAGTGGAATCTTGAGTTGAAAAACTGTTGTATCTCAAAAAGAAGCTTAAAAATGGCAGAAACGTACTCTGGTAGCCCATGAGTACAATGATCCATCTTACAAACCAAAAAAGAACCATCCAGTAACTGCGACTAAGAAAAACCTGGCACATGGGTAATCACACATGACATTTTCATGGGTTCATTATAAGTTAACTGGTTTGGGTCAATTCTGTGTTTTATATGATGGAAAGCACAGACTGCAATGATTTACATTTAAATACTTGTTTATGCTATTGAGCTGGAGACCAACATACAGCCTTGTCTTTTTGTAATTTTAAACAATCATAAAGCTTGCTTTACAGAAAATGTCATCCAAACCCACTTTTGCTTTGGAGAAGGAGGAAAACATGCTTGCTATTATGACATTCAGAATGCCTTCATATTGAGATGATTAATACTCAAACATTTAGGTTTAAAAATTTAGGTACCTGAAAAAGATGTCAATGGTAATGTGTGTAGCATATGATGCTTTACTTCCTTGATACCAATATGCTGGTTTTAAGTAGAAACGACTGATGAGCTCATGTATTTCACATGCATAGTGCTTAAAATTGTTGGCACGGCAACATTTGCATGTGTAAGGCTTTCTGCGTGTCAGGGTTTCCCTGGCACAAACCCTTCTGGTCTGAGTGCCCAGGTTCCAGAGCACTGTGGAGCACCACGGCTGGCTGGGCAGCAGGTTCATATTCCAGCCCCTAGCATGTTCCACAGAGGTTTGATCCACAAAGGCTCTAATGTCTCTTTCTTTTTTGGGGAAGTTTGTCACAATCGGTGGTCTACAGATTCTTCTTGGCACTTCATTTATGATTCCCCTTTCCACACAACTTTTTTTTTTAAGGTTTGTCTGCATCTAGTGGAGTATCGGATAGTGTTTTTTATGACAAAACAGCGTTTTAGGAAGATGAAGGCTGTCCACAGCTATCCTGCAGCTTGCTAGTCAGCACTGGTGTTCCCTCCCACCAACTGCTGGCGTCAGAGGACTCCCTGAGCATGATCGCTGGAGTTTTCCCTCATGTTAGTTCTTCTGGTCATGTACATTACATGACCATTGGGTGGAGGCAAATCCACAGGATTTATTCAGAGATGAGTATACCTAAGCGAGGACAGATAAGATAGAGCTGTAAAGGAGATGGGTTTGTGCATGGAATCCCAGGTTTTCAGTCCAGGAGTGACATACCACCAAAGCCCGAGAAGCTCTTCTAGGGTTTTGCACCAGCACAGTCTCCACTAATGGTGTTAGTGGAGCTTGAAGTAGCCCTCACTGTAATGCAATGATGCTTACAAGTAGAGGCTACTGGAAAATTGCTTCCTGGATATTTTAAATAGTGTGCTGTTGAATCTTATATGCCTGAACTTGTTGTATTTAAATTGTACATTCGTATACTGTTAAATACACCTTTCCTGTAGGAATACATCAAGTAAAGGCTAGCCTGAAAAAATGCATGTTGAGTGTATGTTAAAACATACTTAGCACCTTCTAAAATGTAAAATATCCATTTAGATCAGTGCTGGCTGACTCCCTGGAAGACGAAGCTAAGAATAACATCACCATCTTTACAAGAATTCTAGACAGACTTCTGGATGGTTATGATAATCGCCTCAGACCTGGATTAGGAGGTAATAAAACCAATTAAAGATTGATTTTTAAAAATCAATTTTAATGTTCAGATTTTATGCAGTGATATTCTTCCTTCAGGGTTTTTTTTCCCCTTAACAACTGGTATGTATCTTGATAAATTATTTATAACTACATTCACCCAGATGAATCATTTGAAGTTTGAGGAAGATAACATCTATGAATGGAAAGAAGGCACTTTCACACATTTATCTTAAGTAAAAAGGAAAAAACTCTGGTGTTTTATACATAGTAGAACAGAATGTGAACAAAAATAACATCTAAAGCTGTTATTCCAGTCAAGGAATTTTGGTTGAACAAGGAATGCAGGCTTAATTCCCTGCAATGCGATAGGTGTATGTTTTCAGAAATCTGCACAAGTGTTTTGTGTGACGTATATAAATTCCACATTTTAGATTCATTCCTTGGCCCAGTAAATTCAGTGAAAATGTTGTGATTTTGACTTCTTTGGAATTAGGGTGTCACTGGTAATATGCATTTCATTTCTAGGCACCTTGCACTTATTTGGGCATTTGGAAGAAAAAAATACAGAAAAAGAGGACAGAGGTCACTGCACTTCTGTGCCATTACTGTCTGTTATTTTTCAAAATGTCAGTTCACATTTTGATTTTAAAGCTGTATGCCATCTTATGTCAGTATGTGTTATATAGGCAAGAAATTTAAATAATTTTTATAGTCTTGAAAATATTACTGTGTACAGAAAAATCCCTATGACAGGGAGGGGCTGAATATCTCAGTTTCGACAATATTTTATCTGCTATTGGTGTTTATCTGTATTTATACAAGCTAACATTCAGATATACACTTCTACTGCTATTATTATTTTTTGTAACAGTTTTGGTAATTGTAATTTTCAACTTGGAGACTGTTTCAGCTTGATGAATCTAATTCTAGTGCAAAATCCTTGGGAGCCATTCCTATTCCTGTTGATTTCAGGAAGATCAGGCCCAAAGCTAGAGACATGCTTCAGCTTCCATGGAAATTGCAGTAACAACTCTGATCAAATTAGGCATCAGTTAAAGCTCAGAGTTTTTATCCAACACTATTCTGTCCTGACCTGTGGCTCTGTTGCTGTTCTGGTCCTGGAGAATTGTGGCTTGCATCTGACACAGCAGAAAGTGGGAGCTGACGCTGACTAAAACAGCTTTCTCATTATACATTACTTTTAACCTAGTATATCTTTTCATTTCCATTTCTGGCCTCTGTACAGGGGAGGCTTGAGAAATATTTTATATTCAAAGACTAATTTGGATGGTACATAGGACCTAAAACACTGTTGATGTGAGAATTTATAGTCATGTTTTACATGGAGTTTTGATTTCTTTGCAAAATTTTCAAGTTTAAGAATTTAGGCGTAGTATAAACATGCAATGACTTGCAGTAGCATTTCATATCACCAAGCTCATGTTGAATTGGCAGGGCTTTTAAAAGCATGCATTTTATTAGAAAAATAATCAAAGTTTTCTTGCTTACAGGGAATGAGCCATTTAATGAGAGCAGTCTGTAGCTCCTTTGCATATCAAGTATTTATTTTAATATTGAAATTGTATTATTGAGAACATGAAATAAAGGAAAAATCTAATGGATTTTTCTTTTATATTTTTCATTAAATTTGCTTCAAAATAACCTCCCTCTTTTCCTTTATGAAGCCTCATAGATAATTAAAACACTCTGAGAGCAAAAAAATTAAAGAATTAACATCTGTTTTCTATTGGTATACATGGCAATCAACCCATGCAGAATATGTGTGAAATGAAACTGTGTCATGCATATTAAACCGTGGTGATTCATGACACATTAATCTTCAAGAATACTTCAGTTGTGGATGGATGGATTCTCAGAATTTAAAAGAACACTTGTAAGTGGCAGTTGTGATAATTCATGATACAAAACATACCAAACAAGGCTTTTGTACATAGTGCTTCGTAATTATGTAGTTTCTTATTTCAGGAATTTTCTAACAGTTTATTTATTCCT